GAAGAGGAGGCTCACACCCCACCCCCAGGGTCCTTCAGGTAGTGGGCGCAAGAGTGGTAAGCGGTGCATGGATTTCTTGGTCCAAACTGAGGACAGAAAAGGACAAAGTCCCCCACTCTCTCCTGGGGGACCTTTGCTTCTGGCCCCCAGGCAGTGGCTCCCTGGTGCAGCCCCTGGGAGCCGGCCCACCTCTTGTCGGTGATGTCCCAGCTCTTGGATCGGCTGCCCTGTGGACCCGCTCTGAGTTCCCGGTGTCTGTACATCCCTCCTTTGAGGGCATTCTGTGTGGGAGCTAAAATGTTCATGTTGGTTGTTTGTGAGTCTGGTCAGCATGTGACTACAACAAAGATCCAATTCATTCCTCAGCTACCGAAAATGTCAGTGTTGCCAGCATCCACACCTGCCCCCAAAGGAGGGGCAACTCCTACTGTGTGCAGAGGGCGTCAGCTTACAGAGGGGTCCAGGGCCCTGCCCTGCAGTCTGGGAGGGGAGGAGCATTTGCCTGAAGGACAATCACAAACTGACAAGGACAACTGAGAACTTTTGAGAGCACAGAGCAGAGGCACTTGACTGGCGGGGGTCAGGAGGGGCTTCCTGCAGGAGGCGGCATCTGAGCTGAGGCTGTTCCCAGGGGAAAGGACAGGGCCCTGAGGCTGGAGCAAGTGTCTCTACCAGAAAGTCCCCAGGGAGTGCAGGTTTGGGGAGAGGGCATGTGAAGGGAGCCATGGTGCCCTAGACACCCCAGGTGGAGCAGAGAGCTGGTACAAAATGAGGAGGACTCCCCACCTCAGTCCTACGTACGTGGAATTTGGGGAAGTGGGCCCTGAGGGTCCTGGTTGGAGTTACTCTAGGTCTGGGGGGTCGGGGGTATGTGTGTGTGTCTGAGCCCCACCTCAGTCCCTGACAGAAACCCCAAGAGAAAGCACAGTGATGGGTGGTGTTGGCACCCTCAAGGTGGCCCTCACTCGTAGTGACCCTGTGTGGCAGTAGAACAACGGCAGCCTGCCGTCTTCCCTGGAGCAAACCCCCAGGTCTTCTGCAGAGCCTCTGGGTGGGTTTAAACTGCCCACCTTTCTGCTGCTGGGTGTGTGCCAGTCTGCCAACAGGGTCTCTGGGTGTGTTGACCTGCACCAGACCGGGTCTCTGTGTGCAGACCTGGTCAGTTCCGAGTGCCAGGGTCAGGTCTGTATGGGACTATGTGAGTGTGTGCACCTGGGTCAGGGGCACGTGTATATCCGTGAGTATTCACATCAAAGCCGCAGCAGGTGTCCACATATGTGTGGGAATGTGTGTATCCTGCGTGTGGATGCGCCTCTGTCACCTCGCTGAGGACGTGGGCTCAGTGTGTGCCCACGCTGGGTACAGGTGTGTACGGAGGACAGTGCATGTGGCCGCGTGTACTTGGCCTTGGACAAGGATGTGCACCCGTTTGTGGCCTCTGAAGGGTCCCGCAGCAGTCACCGCGGCGGCGCAGGGAAAGGCGGTGTTGAGGTCCACCGGCAGGCAGCTTGCTGCTGGGAGATGGGGCTGCGCTGGGAAGGCGGGCAAGGTAGGGGGGAGCCGAGGGCGGGAACACCCCCCGGCAGCGCGCGCGCCGCCGCCGGGCTCGCTGGTTGCACTCGCTGCGCGGAGGAGGTATCTGCGTCGTCGCCGCCACGCTAGGATCAGCAGTGGGACCACGGCCTGGGAACGCCGCCGCGGCCGGGCTGAGCCTCGGGAAGGGAGAAAGCCCGCCGACCCGCGTCGGGCCGGCCGCATGCTGCAGATGGTGAAGACCCTGGCCCAGTTCACCATCGCCCTGGAAGAGATGCGCGATCTGGGCCCAGCCGCTGCCACCGGGGAGCCCGCCGGGAGCGGCGGCGCCGACCCCGCCGAGGAACCTGGGGAGGCCCAGGTACAGAGGGGGAGGGGCTCGGGACCCGGCCCTGGATCAGCCACACCCACACACTGGCCGAGCCTCTGGGGGAGAGGGGAGGGGGAGTTGTGCGGAGCTCTGGTGTGGCTGGCAGCCTGGCGGTAGGATGCTGACGTTTGGTGCCACCAGAATGCCAGCCCGGGTTGGCCCAAGGGCTGGCAACCGCAGCCGGGGGTGGGTGGGGGGTGGGGGAGGCTGCCCTCTGAACCAAGGCCTGCCGGCTCTCGGCTGGTCACCCACAGCAGGGCGAAGGAAGAGGCAGCCCCCAGAGATCTTGCTCTCCCTTGCGGGCCTCTCGCCTCCGCCATACCTGCCAGGCCTGGAAGGTGCACTGCAGCTGCAGTGGGACTGACAGAGTAATGGGTGATGCCCCCATTCCGGGCTCCGCGTGTGCTCCCTGTGGGGGAGGGGGGCTTCGGGCTGCCGGGGCCCTTTGTGCTTCTCTAGGCCCGGACTCTTGTTTGCTCAGCTCTCTGGCTCCGTGGGGCCTGCCTGCGGTGTTACCGAGTCTCCCCACACAGCCTGGGGCTCCGCGGATCGCTTCTTAGCCCCAGTGTTTGATTCCCTGGGGTGGGGTGTCTCAGCCTATGCATAGGGCCATGTCTCTCTCTCCATGCTGTGTCTCTTGTGTTCTCAGTCTTGGGATCATGATGCCCCAGTCACCCTGGAGGCCCTGGCTCCCCCGTGTAGCCCCTTCTCTGCATACCTCAGGGTGCTGGGTAGTGAAGGTCTCAAAATTGGACTGGTGAGGGAGGTGGGGGCAGAGTGGGTACCGCAAGGCCTCCAGACATACCCTGCCTGGAACAGGTGGGTCTGCCGACCTAGTGAACAGCTGTGATGGCTGGCTGCCTCAGCCCTGCAGCCAGGAGCTCTGTGCAGGGGCAGGGTGGCAGGGTGGCCCACCCACCGCCACTCTCTTCACCTGACAGTTGAGTGACAGCCCACTGTGCTTTTCATGCTGTTTCGACATCAGCCACCCTGTGTTACCTCCCAGTCATCAGATCCAGCAGCAGCCCTGCCTCCTTCTGGAAGCCTCCCTAACCACAATCCTCAGTGTACCCGACTGGGCCTGCCAGGGAGTGTGGGTGGAAGACAGGTGCTGCAGAGCCCAGGTGCCTGCCTGGCGTGGATTAAGAAAAGGTGCCGTGGACCCACCCCATCTCCTTGCTTTCACAGTGTGGGCAGAGGAGCTACTAGTTTCAGTTCCCAGAAGAGGAGGCGCAAACTTAGGGTGGCTAGGGGTGACAGCCCCCCCCCCCCCCCCCCCCCCCCCCATGGCCAGGAAGAGCAGAGCCAAGGACCCTGTGGCCCGAAACTACCCGGTCATGCTGGGACTCCGCGATGCACATGAGACAGTTGAAGAGACTCAGGTGACCTCAGTCAGGTCCTGTCACCTTCCCAACTCCTGCCGCCTCATCTGAGATGGCACCGGTGTGGCAGAGCTAGGAATGTGAGGCTAAAGCGAGGCCAGTCTGGGAAATGCAGTGGTGTCTCCTGGAGAGGGGGCCGAGGGGGAGGCTTGGACCTTTCCTTGGGGGGCTCTTCCAGCCCTCGATGGTTTTCTAAGCACCCCAGCCCGTGGCAGGCCCAGGTATGACTCCCGAGGCCTGAGGTCCGAGGGAAGGGGCCTGAGGTGGGCATATCATATTGGGAGCAGAGCCGTGAGCAGTAGCTGAGTCTGGCTTGCCCGCTAGGCCTGGGGCCTCTGGTCTCCAGGAGACTGCCAAGTCCCACTTAGCAGGCCCTGGCTCTGGACACAGCAGTGGCTAGGAAAGCCTCATTAGTTGAGTCTCCCAGGGTGCCCAGGGTGAGGACTGGCAGGGTGGCCCAGACACAGACACCACCTTAGCATCAGCTCGTGCAGAGTACCTGGGCCTTGATGCCTGGAACCCGAGGCCGGGTCAGGACCAGAGAGATGCTCAGGCCAGGCTGAGGCCTGGGACAGGAAGTGGAGAGGGGAGAGTAAACCCCGAAAATCGGGCCTCATTTACTCCAGGCTTTCGGGCAGGTGCCATCTGGGAAGGCTGCCTGGGTGAGGGGTGGGCCAGAACCAGTGGGGCTGGTGAGGAAGGGCTGTCAAACCCCCCCTCCCCCAGGACAGGGGTTTGTTTCTCTGTCTGGCATGAGCTTCCTGTCTCTGAGGGTGGGGACAGCCTCTGGGGGACTCGAAGTCAGATCATCACACTGTAGTCCCCTGACTACACACTCAGCCCTCAGTCCACGTCCCCAGTGAGTCCCCACCAATGCCCCCGTGGGCCTCTGCTCCTAGGGACTCGTGTCTATGTGCAGGGTACACACACACACCGTCACGGATGTGCCTCCCCTCTGATCATCACTGGTTCTCGTTCCACCGGATGGAGGCAGCAGTACTAGGGCTCTGGCCTCAGCTCTGGTGACAGGTTAAGTGACTTTGCTTCTCATCCTGGAGATGGGGAAAAACACTCATCACACTTATCACACGTTGGGAGGACCAACTCATGGCTGTATGATGCTAAGGGGAGAACAGAGCTTAGCACACTCTTGGGCCCGGTCAACTTTTTTTTTTTTACAAGAGACTTGGGACCCAGGCCTGCTGCAGTGTGGCTGAGCCCTGACTGACATTGTGTGGCTGTGGGACCTTCTGCACTGACTTCACTTTGCTGGGCCACAGTGGCCTCTTCTCTAATGAGGGTGACAGATGGTATGAGCCAACCACGTGGGGCATGTCCCCAAAGTGCCAAGCCTGAGGTGGGGCTCCAGAGCTAACAGTTGGAGTAGGGGTAATGTGGGACCATTCGTCTATGCAGATGTGGGGGCTGTTGGGGATGGTTGTTTTTTTATGTCTTAATGATCCTCTTTAGAAACCCAGCATGGAGGTGAAGAAGTAAACCTATTTCTTCTGGTGGCGGAGATGCAGAGGAAGGGCACTGCCAGCAGGGGGACCACTTGAGCCAAGGCCTGTCTAGGGCACATTGCGGAACAGCCAGGAGCCGTGGGTGGCAGGAGGGCGTATGGGCCGACTTTCTAGGGCCCATGTGACTTTGGGTAGTATGGTGCCATGAGAAGGAGGCACTGCTCACGCACCATCTGCCCCCTGTCTCTCCAGGACATGCGGAAGCATGTGACGATGACCCTGCTGGACACGGAACAGTCCTATGTGGAGTCGCTACGAACCCTGATGCAGGTGAGGCTTGTGGCCAGCCCAGGTCCAGGAGACCTTTAGGAGGGTGGCAACAAGGAGGCCCAGGCCAAAGGGGAAGAGCACGGCCTCGCGGGTGCCTGCCCCAGAGGAGGAGGAGGTGGCACCCTCCAGAGCAAGTCGTTGTTAGGAGCCATCAAGTCACTTCCGATGCACAGTGATCATGCATGCAACAGTTCATAACACCTGCGCCAGCCCCGCACGTGTTTTATGTTTGGCCCATTTTTGCAGCCACTGTTTCAACCCATCTTGTCAGGGGTCTTCCTCTTTTCCATGGCCCCTCCGCTTTACCAAGCATGATGTCCTTCTCCTGGGACTAATCCCTCCTGACATGTCCAAAGTACATGAGATCAAGTCTCTCCATCCTTGCCTCTAAGGAGCACTCGGGCTGTGCTGTCTCCAAGGTCAACCGGTTGGCTGTTTTGGCAGTCAGTGGTACTTTTAAGATTCTTTGCCAGCACCCTCATCCAAATGCGTCGGTTCTTCTTCAGTCTTCTGGACTCAGTGTCCAACTTCCACATGCAGACGAGGCCATTGAAAATGCCATGCTTGGAGTCAGGTGCAACTTCGTCCTCCAAGTAACATCCTTGCTCTCCAACCCTTTAACGAGGTGTCTTGGGCATCAGCTTTACCCAGGGCATTGTGTCCTGGACTGCTGCTTCCAGGAGTCTTGATTGTGGGTCCCAGGAGGATGAAATCTTTGACAAGTTCAGTCTTTACTCTGTTTATCTTGATGTTTCTTAACCGTTGGTCTAGTTGTGAGGGTTTGGGTTTTCTTTACATTGAGTTTTAATACACATTGAACACTGCAGTCCTTGATCTTTATCAATAAGTGCTTCAGGACCTTCGCACTTTCCAGCAAGCAAGGTTGTGTTATTGCACACTGAGGGATGTTCATAGCCTTCCTCCAACCCTGATGCTGCATTCTTCTTCATATAATCTAGCTTCTCGGATTATTTGCTCAGCATACAGACTCTTTTATGGTGAGAGGCTACAACCCTGACACGCACCTTCCCTGAATTTAAACCATACACTATTCCCTTGTTCTGTTCACACAACTGCCTTGTGACCCATGTTCAGGTTCTGCAGGAGCACCATGAAGCGTTGTGGAATTCCCATTTTTCTCAAGGCTGTCCATGGTTGGTTTTGACCACACAGTCGAATACCTTTGCACAGTGAAGCACAAGTAAACATCTTCTGGCATTCTCTGCATTCAGCCAACATCCGTGTGACATCAGCAATGCTATCCTTGTTCCAAATCTTCTGCATCTGGCCTGAAGCTCCCTGCCAAGGTACTGCTGCATCTTTGTTGGATGATCCTCATCAAAGGTTCACTGGCGGTTGACACCAGTGATACGGTTCTGTACTGTGCGCATTCTGTCGGTCGCCTTTCCTTGTCGTGCGCGCAGGTGGAGATTCCTCCCTCTTGCCCAGGTGCTGCCTTCCGGAGCGCTTGGCCTTGGTGAATGAGGGCGTGCCTTCAGGGCGTCTCCGGCTTGTGGAAACATTGCACCTGGGAGTCCATCCACTTCCGGAGCCTTGTTTTTGGCAAATGTCTTCCGTCCAGCTTGGACTTCTTCCTTCACGACCGTTAGCGCTTGATGATGTGCTTCCTGCCTCTTAAAACGATTGGACTTCCGCTTGTTCTCTTTTGATACAGTGCCTTTGTCTAGCCCCCATCTTCTCTGGTTGCTTCCCGCTTTGTTTAATATTCTACCCACAAAAGAATCTTTTAATTTTTCATCAGTTGAAAGAGCTGACAAAGTTTACGATGTGCTAAGCATGTTCTTCTTTTCCGGTTTTAAACTCTAGGTCTTTGCCCATGCCATGATAATACTTCACTTTGCCTTAATGGAGCTTAGTAAAGGCTAAATAAAGATAAGTAGGCTTCACAAAGCTTGTGGCGAAAATGCCATGATCATTTCATTCCATTTCCCACCACCCCTTTAAAGGCCCCTCATATTTGCTGAGTGAATCAGTGACAGTGGGTCTCCCAGGGGCCCCCATCTTCTTACTGTCTGTTCTCTTTCATTCATCCAACAAAGCGTCCTGAGCACTCCCCCAGCCCCTCCCACCCTCCACCCTCTTCAGTCTCTGGCAGCCCCTGGGCTGAACAGTGAGAGGCATGGAGATAGGCCTTCCCCTCCCCCTCCCTGAGCTCCTGGCAGGGAGAGCCGGGAGGCAGGGCACGGAGCACTGCAGGCTGGGTGACCCTGCGTGTCTTCACACGAGACTTGCAGGCAGGGGTGTCTGGTCACACCTGCACAGGTGAGGTGGGGGCCTCTCTCCGAGGCCACCTGCACTGACCCTGTGGGCCTCCCAGGGCTACATGCAGCCACTGAAGCAGCCGGAGAACTCCCTGCTGTGTGACCCCTCGCTGGTAGACGAGATCTTTGACCAGATCCCTGAGCTCCTGCAGCACCACGAGCAGTTCCTGGAGCAGGTGCGGCACTGTGTGCAGACCTGGCACGCCCAGCAGAAGGTGGGAGACCTGCTCGTGCAGTCGGTGAGTGGCCCTGCCCCAGGCAGAGGGGCTAGATGCTGCCGTGGACCCCACAACTGGGCACTGACTCTGATCCCAGGTCCACCTCAAAACCTCACTAGCCATTCCACTGGCCCCAGCCACTGGGTTGACCTGTACCTGGACACTGATCCTGACCCCAGGCCTTGATTGGCCCCAGTGGACCAGCCCTTGTTCCTGGTACTGACCCGACTGCTGGCACTGACCTTGGCCAAGGTCTCTACTAGATGCTGCTCCTGACCCCAACCCCTCTCTTGGCTGGGACAAAAGCACAATCATGAAAATCCTTCAGCAGAAAGTCCCCAAACTATTGATCTGTGTGGGCTGTGGTGTCTTCTCACGTGCTCTTACGATGTGGAGTAGCACCGGGAGTCGAGGAAGGTCCTCGGATGTCCCTACTGAAAGTGCTGTGACCAGAACTGTGGCCTGGAGGGGCGGAACCCCAGCGTGGACTGAGTACTGACACCTCCAGCTTGTCCCCAGCCCAGTGGGGAGGCAGGAGCAGTTGTACCTGCTAGAGGCAGGGAAGGGAGGGCCTCTGAGGCCAGAGAGACCAGAAACACCACCAAAGGTCAGCTGGCCCATCTGTGGTGCAGCTGAGCAGGAATCCAGCAGTCCTGACAGCCAGCAGGGCCTCTGACCAAGGGCGGTCCTCCTACTTAGTCTGCCAGTCGTCAGGTGGCCAGCAGGTACTAGCCGCCAGCCCCAAGCAGAGCTTTCCTGGGGCAGGTGGCAGCATCTACCTCCGGAGAGAGGCTAGACTCATCCTGGGGGCCAGGGGGCACTGGAGACCAGGCCCAGCCCTCAGCAAGGCAGAGTGCTTCCTGGGGCCCAGCCCTGAGGGCTACGTGCGATTGGATGGGAGCAGCACAGCCTGCTGGAGGGAATCGTCCGCGTGAAGGCCACTGGCCTGAAGGAGTCTGTCCGTCAGAGACAGTAAGCGGGGAGACCTCGCTGGAGGATGAGTCAGGAAACAGTATTGTCATGTTTTGTTACTTCTGTCTAGAATTTTCTGTGATTTTGTAGCAAGACTTTCTTACTTCCCCTCCTGTATGTGCCATATCCACGGGCACACACGCCTAATCACGCAGTCCCACGGACAGCCCAGACCCAGGAGCACGTGTCTGACTCCGTGGACACTGGAGACTCGCTAGCTACAGGGTGGGACAGTGTGGACGAGGGGGAGCCTCAGCATACCTCCTCCCCACAGTTCTCCAAGGACGTTCTGGTTGACATCTACTCGGCCTACATCGATAACTTCCTCAGTGCCAAGGACGCGGTGCGCATGGCCAAGGAGGCGAAGCCTGCCTTCCTCAAGTTCCTGGAGGTACCACGGGGCAGGGCGGGGAGGGGAGATGGGCGGCCCTTGCCCATGGGCCCTGGGAACCCCTGCTCATCCTAGCCCCAGCCAGTGGGTCAACCCGTGCCCTCAGGCTGAGCTGGCAGGGGCTGGAGGAGGCTGCCACCCTGCACACCCTCACCCCCAGTGCACATATTCTTCACTTCGGCTTTCAGCAAAGCATGCGAGAGAACAAGGAGAAGCAGGCGCTGTCGGACCTCATGATCAAGCCCGTGCAGCGGATCCCACGCTACGAACTGCTGGTGAAGGTGGGTGTGGGGCTGGGTGGGCCGGGCCTGGGGTGGGAGGTCCTCAGGTCCTGCTTGGTGGGTCTGCTCAGAAAGGAAGTCCTCTTTGATGCCTGCCCAGGGTCCCTCCTGGTGCAGCCATCTGGTGCCCAGGGCTGGGCTGGGGTGGCTTAGCAGTAAGTCTGGCCCCTTTTCCCACCACAGGACCTCCTGAAACACACGCCCGAGGACCACCCCGACCACCCGCTCCTGCTGGATGCGCAGCGGAACATCAAGCAGGTGGCCGAGCGCATCAACCAGGGCGTGCGGAGCGCTGAGGAGGCGGAGCGGCACGCGCGGGTGCTGCAGGAGATCGAGGCGCACATCGAGGGCATGGAGGATGTGCGTGCCTGGCCCCGGTGTCAGAGTCCGCGTCTGTGGTCCCCTGGGGCTGTGGCCACGGTCACATCTGTGGCCAGCTACCTTAGAGCCATGTGCCTACCCACGTGGTCACCTATGGTTGTGCCTATGGCTGCGTGCACATCTGTGGTGGCCTGTAGTCATGCCGTGTCCGTGTCTGCATCTGTGGTCCCCTGTAATCGTGGCCATGGCTGTCCGTTATCTGTGGTCCCGTGTCTGCAGTGCCCGTCTGTACCCAGGCCATTGTTCCCCCATCTGTCTGTCTGAACCCCTGCCTCTTCATGCCTGTCACCTGCCACATGTCCCACAGTCCGGTGGTGCGATATCCTGGGGGGATGGGGGAGGCTGCTTCTCCTGGCTCGGGCCCATGGGGTCTTTGGAGGGGAGCAATAACCAGCCATGAAGACACCTTGTCCTTCCTGCCCCGCAGCTCCAGGTCCCTCTGCGGCGGTTCCTGAGGCAGGAGATGGTCATCGAAGTGGTAAGAGCTGGCCCTTGCTTGCCTGTCTGTCCACACGTCTCATCCACACTGCCCACGGGTCTCCTGCCTTTCCACCCCAACAGCAGGCTCAAGCCAAGTCCCACCTTGGCTGGCCTTTGACTCTGGGAAGCCAGGG